TGGAGATAAGTACACATTCAGGGTGACTTTTCTTTTTGTGGATGGTGGAGAGAGGAGAAGGAGGCCTGGATTTGCTTTAGGAAAGGTATTTAGGATACTGTGGACAGCTAACACTGAATCACATAGGGAAAGGTATTTTAAGTGGCTTTATATTTTATCATAATTCTAATTCTAATAAGGTGCATGCATGCGTGTTAATTTCGTGCTAATGGTGATGGCTTCCCTTGGTTAAGTGCTCACAGATGCCAGGCACAGACACTGCTGTCCACACGAGTCCCCAGGGGGTCAAAGGCTCATTCATTTCATACGGGATCAACAGCCTTTGTTTATTGTGAACGTTACCTTTTCTCTATAGAAGCTGATGAAATCGGAATTTCTATCTGTTATTTATTTATTTTTCCTGTGGTGGGTTACTCTAGATGACCTTTATTGTTTAAATCTTTTAGAGAGAAAACTTTTCAGAAAATACTTTGAAATGTGTTTAAGAATTTTTATTTTTATGTTCAAGCCAATTAAAGTAGACTTTTATAAAAAATATGCTTTTTCCCAAGAATTACATAAGGTCATGATGGTGGCTTCCACTGTTTAACTAGAACACGGTCCACATTAATGGAGCATTTTCGTGGCCACAGGCGTTAGGCGGACTGGTTCCTTTTGAGGACGAGCCAGGAGAGAGGGTAAAATTGCTGCTGTGGTCATTTCTCTCCACTAATAGATTTGATGCCTTAAAATACATCATTTAGATAAAACTTTATGCTCAATGTCTTCGATTCCTCAATTTCCCTATATAAACACATCCTAGCTGTTTGACCTGGGGCAAATTACCTAATTGCTCTGCCTCAGTTTCCTCACTTGTGAGGCGGGACTACAGGGTTGTTCGAGGATTAGTGGGGACTCGCAGGTAGGAAAAGGCCGTGTGTTTTATTGCCCTTGCTTCTGAGATGAAAGGGACCGTGTCTGCGTGAGGAGTCCCCTCAGCCTCAGTCTCCCTGACCTCAGATGACTGCGGTTATTTTTATTATGTTACAACGGAAGGCTCAAGGACACGAGGAAGTCTGTTCTTGGCCCACCCAGGGCTGGTGGGGAGATGAGGTCAGCGCGGAGTTCGTGGCCAGCCCTGCCCCCTGCGCTGGCTCCGGTGTGCCCGTCGCCTCGCTGAGGCCTGGGTGCCAGTGCCACTTCAAAGCCAGGCCCCTCCTATTTTTATCCCGGTCCACAGCCTGCCTGTGCACTTGCCTCTAGAACAAAAGGTTCTGCCAGGTCTCTGACTCTTCCCACAATAACAAAAGTAATTGATGTTTCTCATGCTATGCGGTGTTCGACTCAAATGCAACCGGTCTTCTCCCCGTAATCCAGAGGGGTAGTGGGCATTATTACCATTTACAACCGAAGAGAGTAAGGCCGGAGGCGGAATCCAGCTGTCACCCAACACGAGCCGAGGCAGGACTCCCAGGTCAGGGTGACATCCACCCTCTCGTGGGGTCCAAGGTATCCTAATGGCTTCCACTGTCACAACCCTGACCCTTTCTCACAAACATAAAGTAACACTTTTAAAAAAGTGAATTGATTTAGAACCGAAAATTTAATCTGAGTTAAGCTAAGAGGAATTAAGATGAATAGCCCGTGGCAGAGACGAGCAGCTCTAGCTACAGGACGGCACCTCTTCTGGTGTCTGAGCACGTCCGTCGCATTCGCAGAGTGATTTCAGCAACGTGCGCAGACTGGCTCCCCTTCCACTTGACACTGCGGCAGAAGCCCTGCTTCTCTGCCCTGCTCTCGGCGAGCGGAAGGAGACAGTCTCCTCCATTTAGATAAGAGAGGCAGCCACAGAATTTCCAAAATCTCCACTGGGTGGAAGAAAATTTCAGGTTCACTTTAAGAAGGCAGGTCAAGGGAATATGAGATAGAGACTGTTTTATTAAGAGACTAGAACAAAAGTGACCTTAAAATTCTTCTTATCCCGGACTTTCAGCTTGATTGTGTCTAAATAACCTCAAGGGAACATGTGTCCTGTATTTAAAGATCTAGATAAAGAAATTCCACCTCTATGGAGAATTTTTTTAAGACTTTTCTCATTTGTGGAATCGAAGCAGTTTAAACGCTCACATTCCCACCAACCTAAATGCAAATCTTTTCCTTTCATGTTAAAATCTTTTACCTGTTTACAAAATTAATTTGTTTGTAAATATTAATCCTACTTGTCTGCTGAGCACTGCCTGGCGTGCGCGCCTGTTGGGGCTGGTGCGGTGTCTGCCGCGTGAGAGCCCCGCCCGCTGTATGTAACTGGCGTGGGAGGGGACGCCCCGCCCCGGGGCCACAGGTCTTGGCGAAGCTAACCCGAGTTCCTGGCCTGGCCGTCTGATAGAGAAACGACTGTCAGCTCTTCAACAAACACTCAGCATCTACCTGCCAGGCACTGTTCTAGGTCTAAGCACATCTTAGATAGAGCTGAATTCTAATGGGAAGAAACAGATAAGCAGAATAACTAAATAAAACTTATATTACGTTAGGTAGACATGAGCCTAGGGGACAAATAATGAGGTGGGGGGAGATAGGGAATTTTGAGAGAGAGAATAGCTAAATCGTGACCAGATATGAGTAAGGCCTGAAGGAAAGAAATCCAGAGCCGTGCGTGCTGATGTCTGGAGGCAGGAGGATCAGCAGGTACAGAGGCCCTGGGGCACGGGCGTGCCTGGTGTGATCACAGCAGGGACGAGGCCAGTGTGGCCCGGTCTAAGGGACAGGGAGCCCTGGCCGGGTGGTTCAGTGGGTTGGAGAGTCATCCCGTACACCAAAAGGTTGCGGGCTCGATGCCCAGTCAGGGTGCATATGGGATGCAATCTTAGCTGAAAAAAAATCTCTGAGCTCTCTGTTATTAGGACTACTCAACAATGTTTTGAACATTCTAATTTCTAAGTTTCCATTCTTCTGATGATTTTAAACCAAATAGGTGGGAGGAAGCCCAGAAAATAAGGTTTTCTCTTTCACGCAGTGTTTCAGGTGTCCTGTCTCTGAAGTGTATGCACTCACGTGGTCCTAATCCTTCCAGATACAGTGATAATTATTTCTACTCCAATTATTAGCCAGTGATGTTAGTCACCTGTGTGTNATAAGGTTTTCTCTTTCACGCAGTGTTTCAGGTGTCCTGTCTCTGAAGTGTATGCACTCACGTGGTCCTAATCCTTCCAGATACAGTGATAATTATTTCTACTCCAATTATTAGCCAGTGATGTTAGTCGCCTGTGTGTATATTCAGGAGCCTCCCCTATATTTCTGTGGATTCTGTTATTATCACCCTTCAAGTCTCTAAGGTTTTGAAGGCCTGACTAGCACAGGCCCTGAGGTGCTCTAGCTGGTGTGAGACCAGAGAAGGCAGGTACCATGGGACGTCCCAGGGCTCTTAGACCAAGGCCGTTCTCTCCCATAGGTAAGGGCCAAAGGGAGATGGAACGTATACCTTGAAAGACAAGAGCTACATTTCTCTTTATCGTGGTGAATGTCAGCACCTCTCACCGTTTAGAAAAGTTCTTACTGGTCCTGTAAAGATGGTGAGGAGTCTCTCTAACTGCCTCCGAGGGCTAAGTTGCCACAGCAGAGCTAAAGGCAGGGGTGCGGTGTAGCTTCCCGAGGGCGAGGACCTCACAGAATCATCTTTGTGTATCTAGGCTTGTGGTCAAATACCTGGAAATAGTAGGTGTTCAGTAAATTATGTGTTAAATGAATGAAGGAAGCCAGTGCATAAATACAGTGAAACAAAAATCGGGTCCTTCCCTGGTGACCAAGATCAGGCTTCCCCCACCCTGACTACAGAGGGAAGGAGCCTTATTATTAGGTTTCCGTTAGGATATGGAGATGAACAGAAACACGGTTTTGCTGGGAGTCAATTGTTATTGCTGAAGTTTTAGTGATTAAAAAGATAGAAGCAACACCCCTTATATCGACCCTTTATTCTTCACGTGCAAGCCAAGAATAAACCATCTACGTTCTCTGTGTGTCTAATGGAAAAGACAGAGACAAAATCGTTAGCATCAGGGATGTTCTGTCAAATCCAGGTTTGCCGTTCACTTTGAATTTAAGAACTTGATTGAGAAAGAAATGCTGTTAAAGTCGTTCATGGGATTCGAACATGCTCGTAAGCACGGCAACGCTTTTCGTTCTGGAGGCAGGATGGGAGACCGTCAGGCGGAGGCATCGCCCCTGGTGCCCACTTGCTGCCCCCCAGGAGTTGGCTAGCAGCACCTCCTGCAGGTGGGAGCGCGGAGGAAATGCGGGAGGGTCGAGAGCTTTCAATAGATGCTATTTCTGCACATTAGACGGGCCAAGCGTTAGCTTCCACAGGCGAGGGTTCAGGGACACAAACTCTCCAAGAAACAAGGAACGTACCACGCACAGAAGGGAGTAAAGGGGCGTTTCCCTCAGAGATGCAGGCAACCCCCACGCTGAGGAAATGAAGCCCCCACGTAGTCTTCACCAGCACAGCATAGAGTTTGAGGGGAGAGGCCTCTACTCCGTTAGACTAGTAACGTTAAACACACCCAAGGAGCTTACGCTTGTTCTCACTTTATTCCATGGACTAAAGTAAGACCACAGGTTACAAATCACTTGAGGAAAGGAAAGAGCCCAGGAGGTCACCGTCTGCTCTGGGTGGTAAATATCTTATTTATTTTGTACTGAAACCCAGGACTCGGTGAGTGTGGGCTGTGCATGCAAACGTGAGGGTGTGGGGGACAGACAGAAAGCTGGGGGCTCCTAGGATGGCAGGAGGTCAAGCCTAAGAGACTTGGTGGCCTCAGAGCTGTGGGCTCAGGGACAGAGAGTGACCAGGAGGCTCTCCGAGACCGAGGCCCAGCCCAGAGCAGCCCGGCTGGGCTCCACACCTGAGCTCCACACCTGACTCGATTGTACAGTGGGTGGTCCTGGTGCCATGAATACCTTGGAATCACAGCCAGTGGGCCCCCACCGAGATGGATAAGATCTCCTAACATTTTCCTTGTTTCTAGGAGAGTGGACGCTCCCTGTCTCTTCCTGGAAGACCCCTCCCTCCCACCATTTCTGCAGCATCCCCCTGGGAGTACCAGCCTGCTTACAGCTACCCCACCCAAGCAACTGATGGGCTGGAGAGAGCCAACAAGAGACTGACTCCTTGGGAAGCAGCAGCAAGGTCTCCTCTTGGCCTCGTGGACGATGCCTTCAAACCCAGAAACATGCAGGAATCCGTCGTGGCAAACGTGGTCTCCGCGGCTCGGAGGAAGGTGCTCCCAGGGCCCCCAGAGGACTGGAACGACCAGGTGCCCTGCGCTCCACGGGCCCCGAAGGCCGGCGCGGGCTCCTTTGGGAGACGGGAGTATAGTGGGGCACCCCTCCCCATCCACGGTGTGCCCACCCCCTCCCAGTGTGGCCCACAGTCGCCGTTTGCGTATTATAGGCAGCCTTCCAGAGAAGATTCTGAAATAATGTCCCTGGAGACCAGGTCTGATTACTGCCTGGCAGCAGCCGGCTGCAGCTACAACCCACAGCCCCGGGGCTGGAGGCGCCAAACATGAGAGGTCGAAGAGTGGTCGTGCGCCACCCCAACAATCATTTTTAAGGACGCTCCTTTGCAGGGCCTGACTTTTTCAGTAGATTTAGATTCACTTTGGTCTTAGCTTGTCCTCGAAGTCACTTACCTGAGTGAGCGTGTGTAGGCACCCGCGCACCAGAGCGCGAATCACTCCTGTACCTAAGTCAGAATCTTAATTCCACTTATCCCATGGATATGGGGCAGTCTAGGCAACCAAACCTGCTCGATTAAAATGAAATTAATATTTTCTTCTCTGCGTCCTGGTCCAGGAAGGCAGGGCTGAAACATGGTGCGCTGGCCGCCTCGAGCAGTGACGCGGAGGAATGTGACATCGGGAAGCTACCGATGAAGCATGCCACTGAATGATCATTACATAAAAAAAGAGTGCCTTGGTGTCAGTTTAAGCATTTCTCAGAAACATTTAAAAACTAATAAAATTCAGATTTTTTTTTTTTTTTTTTGTCGAGTTGATACAAAGGCATTCTCAGAAAGAAAGAATTATCTGGGAGTAAGATGATACATTTCAGAGGGACTTTTGAGGTAAATGGTATAATGTCTGGGGAATAGAAGGATTTAGGTATAGGGTTTATTTTTAATCTATTTAAAGCCGGCAGCCCGAGACAGGGGTAGATGAGGGGTTCAGGTGTCCTCACTGGTCAGATGATCTAATCTCATGTTCTTAACAGCTCTGAGGCTCTCTCGCTAGTAGAATGAGCTTTGGTGCATCTATTGTGCATTTTTGTTGCTCACTGTATAAATATGGGATTGACTTTAAAAGAGGGTTAGGTCACCAGTGTTACTACGTGTAGCATCGAAGGTCCAAAAGGAATAGTTGGGCGGCAGGTTTTGTGCTACGTGTTATGTGGAGTGAGGGTTGATGTGAGCGAAAGACTATTGGTGGGACTGAGGAATTGGTGGATGGCTGTGCCAGTCGGTAGGCAACCGAAGGCCGTGACCGTTTAGTTATAGAAAACAGGCCACAGAGCCCTGGAACAAGTGGTGCTTCTTTACAAAGCCAGCGCGAGGCTGCTCCAAGGAAGGTAGACAGATGCCCGGTTGGTCCCCAGACCCAGCCCACTCCTCACCGCAGTGCCCACGGGTGCCCAACACAAGGGCACGCCGAGTATTTCACATCAGAAGCCAGGATTGAGAATAGTTTCAAACAAAACACATGTCCAGTATTGGAAACTTTCTTAGGTTTTAAAAAGTGATTCTTTTGCTTTGTTTTACTTTTTAACTCTTGGACTTAACATTACGATGGTGTCTTTCTCAGAATAAAACTTTAAATTTTTTTCCCAGGGAACAAGTGATCCCTTATCTTGGAAGTAAAAGAATGGGAATTTGAAGAAGTCACTATAAGCTCTACTGTGATGCACCCAGCTTCCTTAGTTATGGAGAAAAGATGAACAGTTTCTAAAGTTACATTGTTAAATTATCTTAAATTGATATGGTGTTAATTCTCTCAAATTAAAATGTCATTACTGATCCTTAGGAGTTTCTATGGAATCTTAAAAAGTAATACCTGATATATCAATTAGTCTGTGTCAGCAAATTCTCGGGAATCCCCTGCATAAAATGCTTATTTGCTGCACACATTATAGTGGCTGAGTCACTCCAGATGCCAGTGTTTTGGGATATGGCTGATTTAGTGGAAAAGACTGCCTGGCGGGGTGAAGTCATATTTTGTTGCTTTCTTTTATAAATTGTAGAAGTTATTTCTGTTTTTCCTAGGGTTTGATGTACTTCGATTCCAGATGTCGGTAGACATTATACTATTCACTGAAACTTTCACCTGATCAAAATAGAGAGAAGCAGACGTCTTAAACAAATGTGATGATTATAACACAGCCACCCCCTGTCCGCATGCACTAGATCAAAACGCTCAGAGTACTAAGCGCCCCGAATTTATCCCAGACACCACGAGGAGACAAGCCAGGCAGGGGAGCCGAACATTTCACGCCCACAAGGCCATGCCCATCTCATGCTTTCGTTAGAAATCAATGTTTCAAGTCGCACTTTGCAGACATAATTCTGAAAAGCAGAAGTGTCATCGCCAAATCGTCCCGCAGTGTGTGTGTGGCGGGTATCTGTCTCCAGTTTACCTGAGAAGGCGTGAAATGGTGTCGCTCACACTCAAGCTGACGTGCGAGGCGGGACACGCGCCCCTGAGGCCCGGTGCCCGTGAGTGGGCACGCGTCCCTCGACGCCTGTGGGATAGAGCAGCCCTCAGGGGGAGCGCTGGCTGTAGGGACAGGCCGCATTCGCGGGAGACCTTCCTTTACTGGCAGCGACGACACGGGTAGAAAGAGTCCCTGTTTCCCTGGGAGTACAGTGTGCCAGCCACAGGGACAGTAGCCTGGCACCTTCCCTCAGTCTTGAGTCTATCCTGTCACTGCATGCATGTGAAGTGCTGGTTAGTANTTCCCTCAGTCTTGAGTCTATCCTGTCACTGCATGCGTGTGAAGTGCTGGTTAGTAAGATGGCTTCCATTCTGCCTAGTATTTTGAGTTTTATAAATGCACAATTTATCTCCATTTATCTAGTCCATTTATCTCTGAATGGGTCTCTTTTATGCGTTGGCACCATAATTCACATGGGAAAGGGCTGAACTATATATAGGCATTAATGCACTGAAACTTTGGATAAAAGTTATTATAACCAGTAGGCTCAGTTATTAGAATTAGAGAGGAACTGTAGAAATGTTTGTCTTTTAAGGGGCAATAGATTTTCACATTTGATTTCTAGTCAAACAAGAAGTATCTGCACTGTCCACACCTTTTCATTAGAAAGGACTGTTTTCCTGCGAATTAGGTGGACATTTCCACCTGTGCTTACCCCAGATGCTGTATCCAAAAGATGCGTACTGAAATTCAAGATATGTGAGTAATAAAAGGTAACTTGAAAACCAACTCAGAGGCTTTTCATTTTTCCTTATAAAGAATTGTTTTGAATCAGTCTTTACCCCAAAGGAGATCTAATCTTACCTACTACATATTTTTAAATTTCGTTTCTACAATATCAGCTTCCAGACATATCTGAAGAACTTCATGCTCCCTGGCAACATTTTAACTGTAACATTTTAAAAACTTTAGAAAAAGCTTATCTGAAAATAAGCTCAATTTCAAATGCAAGTTAACAGGTTTGATATCCAAACATATTTTTGTATTAGTCTTTTTAAATTCCTTCCTTTATAGTATGTTGGTAATCAGCCCTAAGCGCAGCCATGGCCAGTGGTAATCGATAGGACGTGGTAACATATTGGTGGAATTTCTAAGCCCCGAGAATCCGCAATAGCAGGTCCTCCACAGGCTGGCCCAGGGCTGATCTGTTGAACGGAAGGAAGCCTTCCTTACAATAAGGCACATTTCAGCATATTTAAGAAAAACTTTGAAAAACATGACTTTGGCTCCTCTTACATGATATTAAAACTATCAATGGAATGTGAGCTGCCAGATCCACCTGTATCACGTGGCACAACTTTTTGACACTTTTTGGGGTAAATTCTGAATAAAATGGCTGTTTGGGGCATTCTGATAAAAAATATTTTTTAAAGAGCTAGCACTTGGAAACACACTTCAAAAATGAGGGCTGTTTTAAAGATTAAAATGACAGAAGGGATCGTAGGGCCTCACTGGCTCCCCCTTCTCAGAGGACTCCCTGGAGCTTGGTGACGAAACATTGCAAAGCGGTAAGAGGGGCAGTGTTATCTCAAGGGGGAGCCAACAGCCTGAGGCAAGGGGAGTTCAAGTCCCTGGCTCCTCACTGGATGACAGCCACCAAGTGGCCCGAGAGCAGCCGTGTCCCTGGCCCCCTTCCTTAATCTGGGGGCTGCACCCACATGGACGTGGGTGTGGACAGAGTGGACGTGACAGCAGTCAGGAGGGGCAGCGAGCTGATCCGGCCTGGGGGGAGGTGGCCTGCTGGTTTTTCCTGCTGCCCCATGTGTCATTCATACCATCACTTTCTTCCAGACGGGCACATGGACCTGAGAAGGATGCCGTTTTCAAAAGGGAGGGTGAGGTTACCTGTCTTCCCATAACTGGGGACGGTTTAGACCTTCGTGCCAGTTAAATGCCTCTGTCCTTGAATTCCAATGACTCTCTGGTTTCTATTTATAGTAGCTTCAACTCTGACTTGGCAACACAAAATGCCTGTAATTTATTGAGGTTGGCACTTACTAGAAGGCTAGGAAGAGGAAAGAGAACCCTGATTTTGTGATAAAACAGTCAAAGTTCAATGCTCGGCTAAGCCAGGCACCCTGCCCAAAAGAAAACAAGCCGGGGGAAACCAGGTGTGTGCCCTGCGGGGTCCTCCAGGGCTGCTACTGCACCCTGACCTGGCAAGTACCCGGATCTCTCCCTTTCCATAAAAAGGAAGAGACCGAGAAAGAAAGAAAATGAACTGTTCGAAGTCTAAGATGCCATCACGTCAGAAAAATCAGAGCTATGAACAACTTGTGTGAGGAAACTGTGAAAGAATTTGTAACACATTTTCATTTCACCGTCACCTTACTCTAAAATTATTCCTAGAACAGAGACACCAAGACAGGGCCAATCCAAGATCAAAAGAGGGAGGGAAAGAGCGAATTTTAGCCATAAGTACAAAGCATATATTTTTACTACCACAAAGAATTGGTATTTATGGCACACATATTTCCATAAACATGTGCACTGCATTCCCTTTAAGAAATCTCCCTCCAAGTGTTAAATGACCTACCTTAATATTTTCCCAAGTTGTTATTATTTGAAATTATCAACTGCAAGATTTGATTCTAAGCTAAGAAAAGAGGGGCTTTCGCGAAGACCCCAGAATTGAAGGTCAGCAGGTGGTCTCATCTGATTTTTAATTTCTCTGGCAAAGGGAAGCATTACATTTGATTGGCATGAGTGGAATTCTGTTCAGACCCACACTTTTGTGAGTGTGCAATGAACTGACCTGGAATTGGTTCAAAGTGACAGAAAACTCGAACCCTGTCCCTGAGTGGGAAGCTAATATAAATGGGCTCACCTCAGTCTGTGGCCGTAGCCCTTTGAAGAGTTGAAGGATGAAGCCCTAGGAAGGAGAGTGGCAGGTCTCAGTCAGGGGATGCCTAGCAGTTCCTCTAGAACGTCCCACTTTTGACAAGGGCACAGAAAGCCCCTCTGCGGCAGCGCCAGGAGCCAGCGTCGGATATGTTCACACGGACCATTCGTCAGCAGTCTCTGTCACTCCCCACTCGGTGCCACATCAGCACTCGGAGCCAGGGATGGACCAGCGACTAGAATGTGGCCTCGGTCCCCGGGGAGCTGATCGTTCCAAGGAGGGCGCAGGGTGAAGACACAAAGACAAGGACATTACGAGAGCAGCAAGAACAACCTACCCGCAGCGTGGAGCACTGTGCGTGGGCTGTGGAGTCCCACGGAGGGCTTTCTGCAGGAACTGATGGCAGAGCTGAGACCTAGAGGCCCGGCAGCAGTGCCGGCGGAGGTGGCCACAGCCGAGAGCAGGGCTGCTGCAGGCAGAAGGGGCAGCCCCCTCCTGCCCGCTGCACGCAGTCGGGTGTTACTGGATNCAAGAACAACCTACCCGCAGCGTGGAGCACTGTGCGTGGGCTGTGGAGTCCCACGGAGGGCTTTCTGCAGGAACTGATGGCAGAGCTGAGACCTAGAGGCCCGGCAGCAGTGCCGGCGGAGGTGGCCACAGCCGAGAGCAGGGCTGCTGCAGGCAGAAGGGGCAGCCCCCTCCTGCCCGCTGCACGCAGACAAGGGGGGAGCAGGAAGCAGGGGTTTCCCTGAGGGAAGGGTGAACCCCTCTGCGGAAGGCCAGCTACGGAGAGCGCTCGGCTCCAACTCCACTCTGCCCAAACGGCCGTGGCTGACGGGGAAATGCGGAGCGAGACTTCAGAAACTGTTATTTACGGACACTGCACTCGGAATCTCATGTAATTTTCGCAAGCGATGAACTGTTATTCTTTAAAACATTTTTTTGCCCAGCCACAGTGGCTCAGTTGGTTGAATGACGTCCTGTGCACAGAAAGGTTGCCGGTTCTTTTCCCAGTCAGGGCACACGCCGTACCAAAGGCAACGCATAGATGTTTCCCTCTCACATCAATCTCTCTCCCTCTCTCTCTCTCTCTCTCTCTCCTTTCCTCTCCCTCTAAGCATATCCTTGGGTAAGGATTATAAAAAAAACATTTTTTAAGCACTTAAAAAGGTTGAAACTATTTGTAACTCACTGTACAAAAACAGGTGTCTGGCCAAATTCAGCTCCTTGGCCACAGATGGCTCATCCCTGCTGCAGGGCAGCCCCAGGGCGCCCTTGAAGGTTTCAGCAGGAGTGGGCAAGAGCAGCCTCTCGGAGGAAGCGGATCCCCGCAGCACCGGGAAAGGGAGGTCTGGGCGCAAGACAGAGGGAGGGCGACAGAGAGAGCAGAGCTGCCAGTCTTCCCACGTGAGCCCGCAGGCCGCTCTCGCCTCCTGGAACACTGTGTAAAACATCCGCCACACAG